GTTATTTTCAATATTTAATTTCTTCAAAATGGAGTGGTGATGTTTCATGGCTAACATGGGTGTTGATTAAGTGAGTATTAGGGATAGAGAAAGAGAATATATAATGAAAAAATAATAATAACGAGTTCGAGAACCCGACAAATTTAACCGATTTATATGCGAATAGAAGATGATGTCATCTTGATGGTAGAGATATTAATGGCATCAGTCCACACACACATAAATCGGCGACCGACAACGGACTCTTAATCGATTTTATATGTGAGTAGAAGATGATGTCATCATGATGTCACATATATTAATGACATCAGCCCCCACTTACATAAATCCGAGACGGACTCTCAATCAATTTTATATGTGAGTAGAAGATGATGTCATCATGATGTCACATATATTAATGACATCAGCCCCCCCTCAAAATTTAATTTCTTCAAAATGGAGTAGTGATGTTTCATGGCTAACATGAGTGTTGATTAAGCGAGTATTAGGGATAGTGAAAAAGAATATGTAATGAAAGAATAATGATAAGGAGTTCGATAACTCGACAAATTCAACTGATTTTATATGTAAATAGAAGATGATGTCATCATGATGTCAGAGATATTAATGGCATTAGCCCCTCACTCACATAAATCGATGACCGACGGACTCAATCGATTTAATTCGTGAGTAGAAGATGATGTCATCATGATGTCAGTGTTATTAATGACATCAACTCCACTCACATAAATCGATGACCAACGGACTTTCAATCATTTTTCATAATAAAAGGATCTACATATCAGTTGGTTCTCTTCTTTCTAGCATTTTTTTTTTTTTTTCAGTAACTAATTTTTTAAAAAAAAAAAAACAAAAAACCTTTCAATTGTTAAGATAAAGAAGATGTAAACATTTGGTAGGTTTAGTTTAAGTTATAATAGTGGCTAATGAAAATGTATTAGGTAAGATTTGTATGGGGTATGATAGATTCAGTTAGTAGAGATGATAATCATATTCCCAAAGGCCTTGAGCTTGGACAGAGTGTTATGGCTTGTTTGTGAGTTGTATTTGTTGATTCTTCATTAGAAATTGTAATTAATACATGCTTTGTTTCTTTCCCATTAACACATTCTTCGTACTTTATTCTATAAAATTCTTTTTTGTTACTTGCAGTAAATTGTCAAATAATTTTTAATTAACTATTTATATTAAATACAACTAAGTGGATGGCTTCACTTTCTTATTTATTGCATAATTAACCAATTAAAAGAGTAGATTTAACAATTCACTGCAACTATTGAGTGCAAGAATCATTTTCCTAAAATATATTTAACAAAAAGTAAAAGATCTAATTTTCTTTTCTACCCTTTTTATTTTGATAATTGCTTGCCAACCTATTTTGACATTAAATTCTTTTCCAATTTTTACAAATAAAAATCCCTCAACAAATTCACTTATCAGAACGAATATTCGTTTAATAAATGGCTCATAAGCCCAACTATGCCTAACACTATTCTAGCACTCAGAATTGTATATGTATTATATTCATCAAATTATGGCTCATAAGCCCAACTTTACCCATATATAAAGCTAAATGATAGAAAATAGTAATTTTAAAAAATCAAATTAACCTTCATGTTCTGAATTTCACTAATCATGGTCTAAAATCCCAATCTCTCATGAATCATGACCATTACAATGTACCAACAATACAGATTGCTGAACCAGAAGGTAAATAAGATTGTGAGACAATAGTTGATTATAGTCAATACCTAACCTAAACCTAGATTTGTCCATCATTCCCTTACATGATAATAATCATAAAATGTATGAGAGACAACAGACAGCCATGTCAAAAGTGAATTTAGTCCTCCACTTGAATTGTAATAAACGACAACGTATTAGTGACATTGACCAAGAACAACAAAAGGACCGAGGACTACAACCTACCATATATACAGTCCATAAACCGGGTAGGTTTGTGTAACAAAACGTAAGAAAAAAATTGAATACTTTATAATGTATTCATATTATTATTTTTAAGATTATCATGTATGTTTGTGTAAGAAACATTTGAAAGTATTCGGTCTAAGTATTTAGAAAGCGTCTAAAAGTGTCGAAAAAGTGTCCAATATAATAAATTTTTATTTTTATTTACGAACACGTATATGAATTATCGGACACGTGTCCGATGAGTGACGGTGTTTGACGCGAAGGTACATAAACGGCTCATTCGTAAGGATGTTCGTACTTCATAGGTCATAAGTAAGAGCGTTGATTTGATTCATGAGTTGGATCTGATTATTTCGATCGGTTTTTTGACTTACCAATTTGGTGACGGATTCATAAAATAGAAATAATCAATTCATTGATACCCGAAGGGGCTTGTGTATCTCCTCACCTCTCAAAATGGATTGTGATAATTTGAGTCTCCAAAAGGGGCAAGTGGGGCTATGTTGTTAAATGTGTCCATGATTCTTTTTTATTGGTACTTTTAAATATATGAATTTATGTTTGATAAATTGATAATTTATGTATTGACTATATTATTGGATCAAATAGAAAAATTAGATACGTAGAATCAATCCGATATTTTACGAATTGGATCAAATTAAAGCTTTCCAAAAATCAGATCCGATTCAAATTTTATCAATTCGCAGATTGAATTGGTTATTTTTAATGTCTGTACCGAATTGATCCATGATGACCCCTAATAACTAGTGATGGAATTTGAGGTGAAACTTCTTTGGCTGGCAAGTGAAAAATGAGGAAAAAAATACTATATTGATAAATAAAATAAAGGGCAAACTCAGCCCACCACAAATAACGTCATGTAAATTACACCTATCTAATGATCATCTATATTTTGTCGTTTTGTATAATCAATTTATTTTGCACATGATACTCATACATATATACAAAAATATCCATATATATATTTTGAAGTAATAAGCAAATATACAACACATTAAACTAGAGGCCTTAACCACACCTAATTCTTATTTATATAAGTAATGGATTAGAATCTTGAGTCTCACATCCAAAGTAAGCTTGTTTTGTGGAAGAAGAACAAAAAGAAAAGAACAAAACCAAGGCACACAACTTTAGTTGACATTCTATATGTGTGTGTAGATACACGCACACATGTGTGAAAAGAAAATGTGGGGCGACCCACAAAGAAAACAGACATCAATCCCTTGTTGGTTAATCATTTCTGGAGAATTTTTGTCGTTTCCAACAAATCTCTAATGCATTCAAGTGCCCAAAAGAATATTATAGCCCTAAATTTATTTTTTGATAGCAACATTTCCTCTACTTCTCTACCAATTCGAATTAAAAACATTCACACTTCAACTAATTTCTGTACCATTTTATTTACTAGTTTAATTTTCACACACTTTATGATGGATGATGAATGACTTGCAAGCATAGAAAATAGATCCATACCTACTCAGCTCTGCTGTGAAATGGCAGCCGACGTAAATCTTCCTTTTATTTGAAAATTTGGAGAGGGTGAGATACCCGCAGTCTTACCTGCTCATACGAAAAGGTTGTTTCCTTTTTTTTCGAATATGTGACCTCCGAATCACAATAAAACAACCTTACTATTGTGTCAAGACTTGTCCTCAAAATATCACTCTCTTAAGAGAATAAAATCCTCTTATCAGCAAAGACCAAAGGGGATTTTGTTTACAACTGTCATAAATGAGGTCCAGTTTGGCATGCATTATGATATTGTTTTTCTGATATTGATATTTAAATTTGGCCTCATATCATGTTTGGGACGGTTGATATTAGCGTGGAATAGTTCATAACATATTAGCTTTTTTTGTCAAAACCCATATTACAAAATTGGTAATATTGTGTGTTTTGATATTGTAGCCAAAACAAATATTTGAATTTTTCAAAACAAATTTTCATTACCACAAAACACCTAGTATGCATTGGACAGTAGCAAACTCAACTACTTAGAATCTCCCAATAGGATCAACTACATAAATCTTGAGTTTTACCTCTCGTAGGGCCAAAAAAACACCCATATATGAGGTTTACAAATGATTACACAAATCTAGGGTTTACGTTGTAACTATAAGTCCAAAGAGGTGGTGGGAGGTGGTGGTTGGAAGCGTTCCCACTTCAAAAAAAAAAAAAAATTATATATATGTTGTTGAGCAATTCAAAATGAATTATGAATCCTGTTTTGCAATTCTATAATGAGCCAAACTTCAAACCAAGAAGCAAGCCAGGAACCCGGGGTTGGACTTGCGCGACCCAACCCGAGCAACTAGAATCGGGCCCAAAAAATTAGTGGGCTTCAAACTCTCGGGATTGAAACTGGTTTCAAAGAGAGTTCCTCCAACCCGAGTACCCCAAAATAAAGGGAACAAAATTTCATAAATTTTAGATTTTTAACATACAAATTAGGGTTAAAGCTTGCATTAGTTCCTGCTGATGGCTTTGTATAGCGATTTTGGAACAGGTTGTCATAGATTTTATTACAATTACAAATTATTGTGTATGTCACAATAAATTGTCTGGCCCATTTTATTACAAGTTATTGTAAATATGGTAATAACGCTTCCATGCAAGTTGAATTCATACTGTTTTAATAAGTGAAATATTTTCTTTTTCGTTAAATTTCATTTGTTATCGTTATAAATTGCCCAACGTTATATATAGCCCAAGTGTGTTGTTCTGGACAACCTAAACAACCGAAGGAACCCATAACGAATGGCGGTTTTTTTGGTTTTTTTTTTTTTTTTTTTTTTTTGCATGGTGTATTGTGATTAGTTGAGAATATCAATGACTTGGTTTGCCGGGCTAACCCAATATCTATTCGACCACTTAACCCGCCCAAGTCCCAACTGCCTATGGCCAAGCCAAAACCAATTGATGCCAACATAAGGTACATCATTGCCCTTCCAATTTTTACTCAGAACTATTACTCAGAACTACGAGAAATTATTAAATAATCCAGGTTCATAAACACTTGGTGGACCAATTTAATTCAAAGTCTACAATTGAAAAAATAACCCCACAAAAATATATTAATACATTACAAAGAAATCTCAACAACAGTCTGGATTTAAGTGGTCCACCACAGGTCAAATGGACCTGGACCATCTAATAATTTCTTACCATCTAATAATTTCTTACGAGAACCCTTGTGAAAGAGCATTCTGGATCTAGAAAAATTTCAGCATCATAAAACAGATCACAGTAGATATTAATCTATTTAACGGGTCACATAAATAAACAATGTGGCATGAACAATCATGGAAACAAAAGTAAATGTCACAACCATCTGAAAGTGAAGGGTGAACTGTTCAAATTTACTTCCAGCTCTCATGCATCATTTGTAAAATTCGAAGTCGGTGTCGGGCTTCTTTACGTTGGTTCTGTAACCCTTCTCGAAGTCCTTAGGAAGTATGACATACCGGTTCTTGCGGACTGCATGCATCCCTGCTTCTTGACATATAGCAGATATCTGCATAAAAACAGTTTTTAGCCATTTCCCGGTAATTCCTAAAACCTTTTGGTCAAGCTTTTTATCTACCACTTGACAAAAACAGCAAAAAAGATGAGATGAAATCAAACTAACCTCAGCAGCACTAATTTTATCGGGCCTAGAAACATAGTCCTCCAAGTCAACCTCATCACTCAAATTCATTTTATTAGTGCAAACCTGCATAAAAACATTCAGCTTAAACTCTACTTTCAAGAAGCCAGCACGAGTCAAACGCCCATAGTAACTTCTTAATAGAAGAAGAAGAATAATAGTTTGACATTCCAAACTCCGAATCACTACTATTTATTTTCCTTCCTTTTACTTCGACCAGGAGCAAGAGAAGAGGAACGCTAAATACTGCTGCATCAGAAGTGCAGCAAATAAGAGTTTGATTAAGGATGCACACAAACCTGAAAAACAAGCCTCTTTTGTCGTCTATCGGGCAAAGGAAACTCTATCTTCCGGTCAAGCCTTCCAGGACGCAGAAGTGCAGGGTCCAAAGTGTCAGCTCGATTAGTTGCCATTATAACTTTAACATTCACAGTCTGGTCAAAACCATCCATCTGCAAAAGAACACCAACATCCATAACTTAAATGAAGGTAACATATTATGTATATTTAAGATTCACAACTTTCCCTGTTATCCTAGAATCATGATTTCGCGCATCACAGTCAAGGCAAAAACTGGCTCTTAACCCCTCCTTTTTGCTACACCACTCCGAAAGGTCGACCAATAGATCTCAACATTTTTAAAAGTTGTAACATACTATCCTACCTGATTCAAGAGTTCCATAAGGATTCGCTGGACTTCTCTATCAGCTCCAGTCTGAGCATCAAACCTAGCAGTAGCGATAGCATCTACCTCATCAATAAAGATAATTGCAGGGGCATTTTCTTTGGCAAGGCGAAAAACATCACGAACCATTCGTGGACCCTGCAAAGCATTAAAAGAAAAACTAAAATTAACCATAATCAATGATATAATGCAATTGATTGCAGGTAATCTGGAATAAATGAACACATTTTGACCAAAAGTAAAGAGAAAAAGAATAAATAAAAAAGCGCACACATGGAAAACAATTGCTATGAGAACACATAATGCTGTGTCCGGCAGCAAGTGGACAGGAAATAGCAAAACATCATAGCCAACTAAGGGATATAAAGGCACACTTTTTGCTCTCAGTAGCACCAAGTGCAAAAGATATAGCAGACATCATCACTTAATGTAGGGGTCCACACGAATGTACGGCAAAAGCAAACATCATAGCCGATGGAGGGATATTAAAAACATTTTTGGCTTTCTGTAAAACACCAGGTGCAAAAGAAATAACAAACATCATGTTCAATGTAGGGTCCATACGAATGTATGGAACCTTCCTCCAGCATAAATGATAAAGTGAGCTAACATTTGACAGTTCGACAACAAATGATGACTATACAAGTGATCCAAAAAAATATTAATTACAGATATATCAGAGCAGCCTGCTTGCTACTACAAAAGCTCATTCAGTTGATGGTCAAATGCAGTCAGGAGAATGTACTTAAGAGTCGTAGACGCTGAAGACAAGCAGATACTTATCAATGTAAATGTTGGAAACATACCTCTCCCAAATACTTCTGAACAAACTCAGAGCCAACAACTCTAATGAAGGCAGCAGTGGTATGATTAGCAACAGCCTTGGCAAGCATTGTTTTACCAGTACCAGGTGGCCCATAGAGCAGAACACCACGAGGAGGGTCAATACCGATTTGTTTGTACAATTCATGATGAGTCAAAGGCAATTCAACAGCTTCACGGATTTCCTGCTTTTGGATGTCGCAGCCTCCAATATCCTGACAAAATCAAGGAGAAGTGTGAGAAAATGAGCAATATTTATTTATTTTTGGCTGGGATGCGGTGCCATTTGAAGGAAGTGACTATGGGAAAAAGCTAATAATGGTATATATAAAAAAGACATGTGGCATAACAATACATATAAACCTTTCAATTATATAGGTAACAGGTAACTTTGGAAGTATAAAATTTTGGGTTCCATGGATGCCACATTAAGGGTGCAGCACAAATAGCTAATAACATGGAATGCCATATGATATGCCATGTTCTACATTATTTAGTGAAAGGTTGTCTTTGGAATTTGGTAAGAACTTTCCCTACCAACCTTGTTTAGTTGTCTGGCATGAAGAGATGCATATAGCAAATAAAGTAGTAAGTACTTCTAATGGATAGCTAAAAATTAACAAAAATGACACGTGAAAGGAAAAAGGTTCCAGGAAATATGCATGCTTTTAAGGTTGCTCGTGGCAACAATGAAGAACAACTTAGTTATATGGCTTGAAACTCAAAAAAAAAAAATTAAAAAATGGATGTGCACTAGTAAAAGATGGAACCTGAACATGTCAATTGTAGTTGCAAGAAAAAATATTCATTCAGAACATACATCCAAACATACAGTAAAAGCTCCAACAACATGCTCAATGAAGCCAGTCGCTCAACCAATTTACAGTTCCAGTTTTTTATTTTTTTATTTTTATACCTCAATTTAGAGTTCCAATTCAACAACTAAAATAACATCATGGACAAGTTCCTGAAAGAAGTACTAGAAGATATGAATTTGACACTGCTTTTAGAGATGAAAGGAGTACAAGGCTAACAATTTTCAGTCTGACACTAACCAGTGATGTGAGAATGGACGAATGCATTTATATTCAACAATATGAATCTACATCAGTTACAATACTGATTCCGTATAATATACCAATCACCCATGCATGAATTTGAAGGGACAACATCAAACCCAAGTCCAGAGACAATGACATGAAGATGTTATAAAAAAGAAAAAAGTAACTGCAATAGAGCGCAGAGCCACATATATCATGTAAACTATTCATAAACAATAATATAGTGAAAATAAAAATACTTGAGCATCATCTGGCTGAGCAAAGCTTAAAGTGAGAAGTAAAACTAAAAATAAAGTCCAACTGGCCCCTATGGCCCTAATCAGTAATGACCAAAACTATAAAAGCATCGATCCAAATATTGCTCCCCCAATCTCCATATCCACTGCCATCGCCACAAAACAACACTTTAATAGCACCAACAGCCAAGCTATCAAAAACTCTCCCATCAGGCCATCACCAACATCACAAAGTCATTATCATACCTATCCACTGCCATTGCCATCACTCATACAACTGTTTTAATATTACCTTCACCAATATCATCAAGTTCTATATGCTAACCCAGAAAATATAGTACTTGAAGCCAATTTAGTTCCACAATATAGACACATTCCCTTTCTATTAGTTCAAATCTCTTTTAATAGTCAGTGTGTAATAGTGCCACTCGCATTAACCCAACTAAATATGGAAATCTCATTGTACTGGTTTAGAGAAGCATAAAATATCCAAAATTGCTAAAACAATGACTTTTTGACAGTTTCAAAAGGGCAGTGGACTTACTAAAGAAAGCCCAAATTAGTGAGAGTGAGGATGGAGAGAGCTAAGAAGCTCGGATACAGACACATGATACACAAATGCTATGTGAAGCAATCGAAGTACACTCCTCATCGTGTCTATTCAAAAGTTTGTTCAACTAGTTAGTGGTAGAACTTATGTCAAGAACAAAATCAGAATTTGAAACTATATTAAAGGACAAAAAGGTAAAATCGTTTTTTTTTTTTTTATAAATAATAAAATATTCATAAAAAGCGCTCAAGCAAGAAGCATATCGCACTTACAAGACAAAAAAACCCAAAAACCATGATACCCTCAAACTATCCACAAAAGCAATAGATCCTCCACTGATTTACAAAATCTACATGGATCCAAAAGAATAAGAAATAATTAAAAAGAAATTTAAAATCCCAAATAATATTATAGGAGTCTCCTTTGCGTGAACAGTTTTTGAAAAGTTCTCTAAATCATAATACAAGAAGGTTTAGGTTTTATTTTCTGATTATAACTAAGAAATCCCAATTCCTTTGGGCTCAGAGCATTGTATAAAGACCTTTAGTGTCCCTTTAACCCATTTATGACCAGTTTAACATGCACATGTAATAACCCGGTTAATATTCCTTGTTAATCTATAAAATGAACGCAATATCAAACATGATTCATACAATGTAATGTCCAACATCCAATATTAAAAATATCCCACACCCCAACATTAACACATGCTTGCTTTCCTAGCTTTTCTTGATTTTCTTGTCAGCCTACCACATTTACAGAACAAAAATAATAAAGGATTGAAGCTATGAAAATATGTTGCTTCAGAGATTTAGAATGTCTTGTATATATATACACACACGCACATATATATAACATATAACAAAAATAAATGACACATAGTGATTAACAACAAAAAAGAAATTACAGATAAACAACTAATAAAGTCAAAACCAAAACAAACCAGACTCGCAAAAGCATCAATATCTCAAAAACGCAATTCCATCTAAACAAAGCTCATTAAAGAGCACAAAAACACACACACACACATATATGCACGAACAGAATCAGAGAGATAAAACACATTCTGAACCTAAATGATTGTCTATTATGTGTCATTCACATAAAAAAAAGTCATCAACACCACGTAGTGAAAAGCAAAGAGATAAGAGGTCATTGATGGGGGCAGAAACTCAATGAACAAGAAAACAGAGGTCGAAGTAACTGATGATGGCTGAAACCCAAAGAAGAAACAAACATAGAGAGAGATAAAAGAGGAATTATCTGAGATAATAAGAGTAGAGAGTTACAATAACGTAATAGGTTTCACTCCATTATGAAGCTAAATATAGTTAGGTTTAAATGGGTCAATTTTATTCATGCTGACCTGACACATTTACCTCAATGGCTTAAATCCAGTCACACGGGTTAAAGCTCCAAAACACATAATACAACCTATTTCTTTGTTTAAGAAGTTAAATAAGTCAACTCAACCATGATCCGAACACGATTTAGGTCAAGGCAACCAACTAATTTCAAGTTTCGTACGACTAGTTTAGTAGATCGTGTCAAAAAAATTGTCACCCTCAGCAATGGTGCAGCCAGGATGAGTGGGGGCAGTTTGCTGTATTTTGACTTTGTATATATAATTTTTAAAATTGTACACATGCCCCCACTTCAAAACTATAGATATCTGTATAATAGAAAACCTTGACTCTTAACCTCATCCCTTTCTCTTATTATGTAATCCTTATCACACAAACTCTCTTCGCACATCACTTTCCACAACACCATCTAGTTCATCTCCTCCACTTCAGCCATTAAAATCTCCTTCCAATACTTTTCCAAGGCAGAAACGAAAAGTACAAAAATTATTCTTCCAGTCTGTTTCTCGACACTAGGTCAACACGCAAAAATCATTAATCCCTTTTTTTTACCCAATCTCACTCTTTCTATAAAATAGAAATTTCATTTTAGATTAGAAAATAAAGGATAAGAATTTTGTTAACATCAACAGATTGGTGCCTAAAAAAACAGTATATTGGTTTTTCAGTGATTGAGTGTTAAATTAATCAAAACTATGATAATCTTGCAATTTATTCAGATTGTTTCATAAATCACAAGAACTTATCATGCAACGACCTATCAAAACATGAATCTAGTTGAGCACAACTATAGTCTTGCAATTTTTGTTTATCATATTGATAGCAATATTTATCTCGATATTGTCCATCAGCCAACTAAATTAAATTTTTGGCTCAGTGGTTGTCGTAAAGTGAATGAGGAAGGAATCACATGTCAGATACAGAGGTTCTCGGTAGACTGGGCAAGTTAAAAATGGAGATTTGTCTTACAAGACGCAAAGGAAGTCGAGGACACTCAATGTCGCCTTTGACCTCTATAATTGGTAAGGGTTTAAATGGGCCCATGATCTAACAGATGATATTAGGCCCTTCCAAAAAGGTCCGAAGATCTAAAAGATGACAGTCTGCCTTTCCTAAATGGTGAGGCTCTATAGAAAATGTGTCAGATGGTTAATAGTATATCAGTTAGGACAAGAGGACCACGTGCCAATGAGAGCTCTTTATGTAGCAGTGTACACGTCCCTATGATGGTCGTGCGGGATTTAGCCATGTATACTAGAGCAGCTCGATTAAAACGAGGAAGGAGGTAAATTGCAATATCGGGGCTGGCATTGCGGCATACAGAAGGGAGAAACTCAATGCTAGGATGGTAACAAGGTAGCCAACTTTCTTAGGAAGATATTGCCATCGTCCAATTTGATGACTCCACTTATGCAACATATTAATATATGTCATCTTCATAAAATTGTTATACCATTGCTTAGTGATAGAGTACCCGGTGCAGCCAGTAATTGGTTCAGTCGTAGCGTGTATGATGGCAGATGGCAGAGATTTACTAAGCTTTTCAACCATGAAAGGGAAAGGGCAGTCAGCTAAATCTCCAAGAAAGAGTAGAAAAAGGTAAACTTGGAGAATCGTTTTGTGGGAGGAAATTAGTCAAAGATAGAATTCTACGTCTTTACAGTTAAAGAAGCACGAGAAAAATACAAACTTCTTATACCCTTTGGCTAAGGAAATTGAAGCATCTAGTTAATGCATACGGGTTCTAAATTTCTAATCTTTTCATACAGACGAATATTAATAATTATATATAAATATACATATCAACACAATAAACCAATTTATTAGAACAAACCCTAAAACCAATTTATCATCAAATTTCACAAACCCTAATTAAGAAATTCAAACTCAGTTAGACCAACTCACATTATAGGTAACGTCAGGCTTCTCCGACTGGCTCAGCAGCGAGATACTCGAATCGGCCTCCGGCGGCAACACATCGACGAGCGCATTGGAGTGGCGGTGCAACGCCACCGACGCCGAGGGCTTCAAAAGCTCCCGATTGATGGTACTCAAAATCCTCACATAGTAATTCGATCCCGTGGTGGATCCAACGATTCCGTTGTTCTGATCGACCATCTCCATGAACTGGCCGATCACGAGCGGCACCGATTGGATTCGCTTGACCTCTTCCTGGGCTCGGAGGAGCTCGCGCTTGAGGTTCTTCTGTTCGTCCTTGACGTACTCCTCCTGGATCTCGATGAACTCGAGCTGGCGTTGAAGGGACTTGAGACGACTGTAGAGATCGTCCTCGTCGGAGGGGGACGGTGAGGAGTCGGAGAGGGCGTGAGGGTCCGGTAGAGTGGGAGGGAGGGTTGGTGGTGGTTCCGAGATGGGCTTTGGGTCTAGAACCATCGCTGCCGCCATTGTTGATCTTTTTGGTGCGTCGAGTTCACCTATCCGATGAGAGAGAGAGAGAGAGAGAGAGAGAGAAGAAGATTGGAGTGAGACGCAAGATAGTTCAGGAATCAGAATATAAAATCTGTTTCGTGAGTGGATTGATACGATGTCGGTTTTGTTTACTTATATGGGATAACGAGCAAAATTTTCCAATTACACTACACTACTCCGTTTGTCTTCCGAATTAGGGCAGCAAATAAACCTATATGCATTCAACTAGGATAGTACCTGCCAATATTCAACTAGGATAGTAACCTTCCACGATTCAAAACTCCCTCCGTATGCAAAATTTTGTTTTAGGTGTTTTATTTTTTTTTTAAAATAAAAATAATATTTTTGCTAGAGAATCAAATTTGGAAACGATATTTTGTTATGAAAATGTCGAAAACAGAAATATGCAAAACATATTTGATAGGTAGTGCATTTTAAGAATTTTAAAAACAAAACATGTTTGGTCCACTTGCCAAAAAAAACAAAAACAAATTACATTTTTGGTTATTATTGTTTTTAATTTATTTTTATAAATTTTAAGTATATTTATAAAAAAAAATTTACATAAATAGTCATCATATTGAACACACACTTCATAACAGATGTCAGATAATCATTAAAAAAAAAAAAAAAAAAAAAGTCAGATAAACTCAATAGATTTAATTAGAAAATTTATGAGTACCAATCAATGGAAGTTGCCAATTTCCAATAACGTCCATTACCCACCTGATCCACTCTTAAAAATTTCCAAAACGTCCACTCTTAAAAATTTTCAAAAGGAATTTCCACATACAATACAAAAACATAGAACAGAAAGGCTCGTCAAGGGCCATTGAAAACCGGGTTGGAGGGCAGGGATGTTTGATTGTCGGAATCCAAGGGGTTCTAGGAAGAATTTGACGGAGATATCAGAAGTACTGTGATTAGGCCGTCATAAACCAAAGGGTAAAATCAAACCCAAAAAAAAAAAAGTGAAGGAAAATTAGTTCTGGGTTTGTTTGGGAACTGGGAAAATGATAAATATTATTGGAAAGATGAGGATTAAGGGAGGGGACTCTATCGGCGCCGAATCTGATCACCCTCTAGCCTTTGCCCAAATTAGTTCTGAGTAGCCACAAAATTGGCTCCACTCCAGCTCTCAATTAACCCTATAAAATGATTGAAATGTTTTAAGTGTGGTTTATATACACGTTGCAAGTCTGATTTAAGTTGGGTCATTTTACTTCCTCTGCTATAGTAATTATTTGGGCCAACAGTACCCAAAACATGATAAAACACCAAAATGGTGTTTCAACTTTTAGCTCAAAAACTAGAAATGTTTTGACATTGTTAATTACAAAGCAGGCCGAACCAAACATGTTTTGGGCTAAAAAGTTACTACTGTAGCAGGCCTGCAACAAAAACACATGAAGCAAAGCAGATACCAAATAAGGCCTAAGCGATAGACTAACACCCGGTCTATATATACCCATTCATTTGATTTTCGTTGCGGTTACGGCCATCCCGCCTACCTGGACTGAATACCAGAGGCTTGACGTGATATCAACTATAACAGGGTAGATGCTTCACAATCTAACTCAAAAGCCTAAACTATTAGGTGGGGCTAACTCTCAACCCATATATACTCATCAAATCGAGAAATTATTAGATGATTTTGATCTACTGAACACTTAATGGACTAATTCAATGACAACCGTCTGATCATGACACTTTATAATATATTAATAAATTATTGTGGGGCCATTTTTTTTAATTTGAGAGTCTGTATTTAACTGGTACACCAAGTGTTAACGATTTAGGTCCCATCCAGATCCGATGTGGGACAAACTCCCCTTTGTTATATTTAACTTCTTCGGTGGGTGTGTTCGTATTCAAGTCCACTAAAACATACAAATATATGAATATGGATACAGATGGAAATATGAATATGAATAAGGGGTACTGTATGATAATAAAAAAATAATAAATTATATATATATATATATATATATATATATATAAATTAATTTTTAAAAATATTATGAATCTAAATGTAATCATTAATGTAACATTGCATGTCGTTTCACAAAACAAAAAATAAGTATTTATTGTCATCACTTAATATAATTTGAATTTTTCTTAATAATTATTATATAATATCATTTTAAAAAAAATTACATTTTAAGTTTCAAAACTTGTTACAAAATAAATATATATATTTTAAATATTATGAATACGTTTAAGAAATACCAAATACATATCCGATAATTTGAGAAGTATCAATATTCGATAAAGATTACGTTGTACTTGTAGAAGTATTCGTGTTTGTCAAATTAAAAATCAACCAACTCGAGCTTGAGTTTGATTTTTTAACTAATCTATCAATCGAGCTGATCCAAAATCCAAAACCCAAAACATTGTTGAGTGTAACTTATTAATAATAAACTCATGTAAACTCATATGTGCATGAATACATTCATAAGTATATATTTTTTAATTAATACTAGGCCCAAAGGCCGTACAAAATAGAAGTAAATGACTAAGGTCCAAGACAAATAGTGGACTACAAAGTAAACATGCAAGCCCGGCCCATTGTATTAGATATTATGAGCAATGTTCATGGGCATGGTTGGCATACGCCTATACAAGTTAATCGAGTCAAACATGAGCTCAACTTAAGGTGCTGTTCATGAATTTCAAATACTGAAGTTTTTAATTGGCAATTAAGATTTTATCTTATTTTATACAGCGCTTATCGTTTTAAGTGATATTTGCGGTTGGACCGAAAAAATCACTTTTATCAATTGAGTTATTGAAAAATTACAGTCAATAAAAACATGTTAAGTGTTTGGTGATATATTATAGTACTTTTCACCATTAAAATTTTATTTTATTTTATTTTGTAACAATTGTTTTTTAAACATTTTCATTGCTAATTTTATAATAATATACTTTAATAGGATATTACCATATTTGAAATAGCAACTTTATTAAGGAATGAATGTAATCTTTATAAAAAATAAAAAAGGACATAATTGACTAATGAATAAGAGTTACTTAAAATATTCAACCCCCATTTTAAGACCTCAAAATTCTACTTTATTCAAGCGCACTACTATGCTTAATTTGATAACCATTAAAATTGCTTTTAATGGTCACCTTTTAATTAGGGCTGGGCAAAAAATTCGTGAATCCGATCCGTATGGATCGGATCGGATTACCAGACCCACGGATTGGGGGTGAATTCAAAAATTTTGAATCTGTAGTTCACGGATCGGATCACGGATTAGGCTGTCAAAAATCCGATCCGATCTGTGAATCCGATCCGTGGCCAATCCGTGAGTAATTCGTAAAATATATATATATATATAAAACCTTACTTTTTTTTTATTTTCTTTATTATTAGTAATTATTATGTATTAACTGTATTATATATACATAAAACCTAAACCTAACTAAAGAAGATCAAGGAAGCCAAAAAGAAAGCGGCCGCCTCAGTACTCTTCTTCAGTTCTTCTGATCTCTTATCGTCTCTTTCACCAAATCAAAACCTAACCGCCTCACCTCTCTTCTTGACTTATTCTGATCTTCATTAGTTGTTCACCGTAGGCTGCAACAACGACACTTTCATTGTTTGGATCTGCACAGTTTCTAGTGAGTTCACAAAGTTTATTCTCTTCTCTTTATTTTGATTTAAATATGTTGTGGTTTTCTGGTTAAATTTCTATGATTTTGATTTTTGATTTTTGAAGTTTGTTGATCCGTAAAATTATAGTATTGCTTAAGGTTTCTCAACTAAGTTTGAGATATTTGATTTCATTTTTATATTGTCTACCTTACTTTTGCTACGAAATACTCGCATCTTTATTCTTTTTCTAAGTAATCCCATCCAGTATTCTACTATTTTTTGATGGATTACTTAGATCAAGCCCTTACCATCAAAATTTTATACTCTTGCAGATGTGACTACGGTTTGAGGAGATTTATGGAGATTGTTATAGCATATGGAGTGACTGTCTGCGGATTGGATCCGATCCGATCCGTCATTTCACAGATCCGATCCGTGGACTAACGGATTGGTGACGGATTCAAAATCTCTCAATTCGTTGTGAGCGGATCGGATTAGAATTGATGTCTAATCCGATCTGATCCGTGACCACCCCTACTTTTAATGGTTACCAAACACATCTAAACGCAAATTTTCAAAATAAAAGCTACTTTTAAGTAGTATAGAAGCAATTACAACCGAGCACTAAATTACATTATTAAATGCATTTAATTGAATCAGTGCTTAATTTTGAACTAATTAACCACTGAATTGATTAATCAAATAGCACATTTAGTCTTAACATATAATGTCAGTTTGGTTTTTTTTATTATTGTTAACCCAATTTAACTTGAACATTTCAAAGTAAGGACAAGTTGAACATTAATTTAGCTTTTTGAACTTCTCACGATGTTAAGCCAAACTTGAACTGAACGCTAATGAATGAGCTTAGCTCACTAATTGAACTCAAATCAGTTCAATTCATTTGCAACCCTATGAATAATACATTTTTTTTTTTCCATCAAAAATAATACTAATAATAATAAAATAAAGTGAAGTAGAACAAAAAAAAAAAAAAAAAAAAAACTTGAAAACCATCCTTAAATTGAAAACCATCCTTAAAAGTTCCAAAAGAAACCCAAAAAATAAAATGAAAGACACTAGGCCTCTTATAATATTTTTTTCATATTCGTGTACTTCCTTTTTTTTAATTTTATTTTGTACGTTCTTTGTTTGTTTTTTTTTTTTTTTGATAGCATAAAACTATATACTTAATTAAAAACAGAACCAACTATTTGTCATAAAATAAAATTAAACGGAATAAAATGCAGTTTAGATCCATAAAGTCAAGACTAAAAGTGAAATTTTCAGGGATAGGTTATAAAGTCTGATCAAATTTGGAAAAGTTTCAAATGCAATTTTTTTCCACAGCTTTTAACTTTTTCTTTTTTCCTTTTTTCAAAAGGTTAAACAACTGTTATAAACATAGTAAAATTACAAAAGGTAGGCCTTTGGGCAAACAAGCCCATCAACTTAATAGACAACCCAGCCCAAAGAAGGCAAACACAAGTAAAATTGGAGCCCAATTACAATGACTCAGTCCAGCAAAACAAATAGCCTAAATTAACGGCTAATGGTGGTTATATGCAGCTCAGTCCGGTGGCCTACAAGGAGGACGCCGACGGAAGCAAGAAGGTGAGACATTACAGTCACTCAGGATGCGTCTTATAGCTGCACAATCGATGAAGAACCCTAATTTTAGGATTGAAGTTATGGTGGAGCAAATAAAATTTTCTCAGAACAACCCTCTGTGATGAGTTCTTTCCACGAAAGATCTTATCATTTCTTTCCTCCCATGTGTGGTAGATTACAGAGGAGAGGCAAAGTTTTCAAAACATATTTTGTGCTGAATTAGGCTTCCATTAATTACTGATCCATGTAACAAGAATGTCTGACTTCGATCATCTATTCTTCAACTGCTGTTAATAACCTTTTTTTTTTTTTTTTTTTGAAAGTTAAATTTAATATAAATAAGGAAAAAAGAACAACCTAGAAGTTAGCCCAATGCTAACACAAAAGAGCTATACAAACACAGCCCAGAGGCACAAAGGGAACAAAAACATTTTAGCCATATAAAGCAGCCCAACAAAAGTAGTGTGTGAATTTGATCAACACAACAATCCGGTGATGAGGGATGTAAAATCTAGCAGTGGCGAAGAGTTTCAGCAATTCAAGTCAGGTGGTTTTGCAGGTGGACGAATCACTGCTTCAGGGATATTCCATTCCAAGGCAATTCTGGTGGTGTGGAGTGAATCAGTGATTGTAGAGGTAAGAAGCTTTGCTCGGATTGTCTCCAAGAATTGATGAAGGATCGAATTAGCACCGAGTGTTCTCTTTTTGAAGATTTTGTTGTTCCTCTCAGTCCAAATATGGTAGACAAGGGCTACTAGACCCAACTTGGAAATTGCATTGCTGTTGAGTCTTGAATTCCCCCTCCAATGATGCGATGCCCAAACAATAAATTTTGGCCAAGAGGATGACTGAGTGTAGAAACCACATCTTGCTTGCAAAAACCTCCACAAGGGTTTGACAAATGAACAAAGAAAAGAATAGATAATCATGTGATTCATCTTCAGTGTTACATAGAATGCACAACGATGAGTTGATATGTGCCGTGCACCTTCTGTTGAGAGTTGGCAGCTTGTGTTGTATGGCAACCCAAAGTGTGAAAGAGTGTTTTGGTATGGATGGTTTAGACCAGACTAGATGGGGCTAAGGTAAGGTAGGATGATGCTGGTTCAAGTGTTTCATTGTCTTTGAGATAAATTGGAATTAGATGGGAGCCAAATAAATTTATCTTTGTTGTTGGGGTTTGGTTTAGGTAAAGAGCCAATGTTTTGTAGTTGTGGAAGGAGGTTGAGGATGGCTATGGGGAAAGACCAGACGTTGGAGTTAATAAATGAGCTGCATTTTGTCATGCTTCCAAACTCTATTCCTGCCAATTGTTGAGGTTGAATAAGGTGGTGAAGTGGTCCAAGAGAACTCCAATTGTCAAGCCAGAAATTGGTTGAGATTCCATCACCAATTTCTACCTTGACAAGGGGTGAAATTGCATCTCTGAGGCCAAGAAGTCTTCTCCAACTCCATGAGCACCGACCTGGAACTTTGATATCCCAATACTTCTACCTTTAAGAAGATAGGTGTGAATCCATTTAACCCATAACATGTCCTTTGAGTTGCAAATGTGCCATAAATGTTTCATAATAGCGCTCTCATTCCAAGTTTGTAAATTTGGTAGCCTAAGACCCCCAGCCCTTTTGGGAAGGCAGCATTTGTTCCAAGCAACTTTAGCACACGTCTTTTTCAATGTTGGACCAGACCACAAGAAAGCACCAAATATACTCTCAAGTTCATGTATAATGCTCATTGGTAAGATGAATTTAGAGCTCCGATACATCTGAGTTGAGAATAACACAGCCCTAATAAGTTGTAATCTACCTGCAAAGGAGATATTTTTGCTTGTCCAATGTGCAATTCTAGATGTTACCTTATCAATTAAGGACCTGCAGTCACTTGCTTTGAGCATTTTAGTAACCAGTGGTACTCCAAGATAACTCCCAGGAAGGATTCCTTTTTCAAAACCAAGAAAATCAAGGATGGCAGACTCCTTTTGAGTGGTTAGACCAGATATGAAAATCTGACTTGTGATAGGAGGAATGAAAGACCAAAGGTTTGGACAAGCATCAAGTGAGAAGAAGTTGAAAAGGTAATAAAACAATTTAGAACAATTTAGAAGAAGTCTAAAATATTGAAGAAAGTTGTGAAAAGATATGTAATTAAATTTGTATTTATTGTTTATTAATAACCCCATTTAAGGAGAAAAAATTTAAATTTAATTTAATAATTAAAAAGAGTGAGTTCTTTAAATTCACATTTGATGACTCCACACTGTCACATAAAGTAAAAGATAGAGAGAGTTTGAGTCTCTTTAACGAATATTATGAAAGTTTTTTACTTAAAAAGTAAAAATAAAAGATAGAGAGTTTGAGTCTCTCTAAAAATATTATGAAAGTTCTGTATCGGATGAGAAAAGCAAAAAGATAAAGCCCTTAAACAATTGTTAATAATGCCTAGGTTTTTGGGCTTTATAAGGGTAAGCATCTAACCTTCTATAGTTTGTATTAGAGTATGCATACATGCCATTATGTAATGTGATTTCTTCAAAAATTTTGTTCATAGTTCATTCATCAAACATTAAGTTACTATTCTCTTAAACTATTTCTTCAGGAATGAAAAATTATACAACACTAATATATATATATATATATATATATATATATTTTAACACGTAGTAGCCCTTTCAATGAAAATTCATATCCAAAAAAAACATGCCTCTTCAAGGCCATAACCTCTTGCTTTCAGAGCTACAAGACTTTGCAGCTGGTCATCAACAATGTGAAAAAATATCAAATGGTTGGTTGGTTTTTTTTTTTTTTTTTTTTTTTTTAAATTACCCAAAAAAAAAAAAATCAATGTGAAAAAAGGACTAGCTCATAAAGACATAAAGCTGATTCTAAACAAGAAAATGTTACTCAACTACAACAATAATCCATCACAATCACAGCTAATGTTTGTTTCTCATGTTACAAATCCACCATTCTTTCTAAGGGATAAACAAAAAATTACAAACAAAAATTAAAAACACAATATGGAGTCCTTTCCAAGGTATAAAACAACGAACTTTTTACACGAATTCACCAATTAACAGCAGCTAAACAAATTCCACTCAAATCTACGAGATAGAGAACCTTCTTCTCCTGGGCTTAGTAATGTCCACACCATCGTCAATGTTCAAAGTATCCTTCGATCCGTGCTTGAACGGATTCAACTTCCCCAGAGTCCTGGACATGGACGAGAAGAACGTGCCTTTTTTCGGACCAACCTTGGCGGAGGTCCCTTGGGTTTTCTGTATATCGGAGATGTACATCTTCATCTTCATCAGCTCCGATCTCAAGACCTCGTTCTCTTTGATCAGAGACACATCCGCTTGTATTTGGCTCCTCGTTGATATGGCGTCTTGAACGTTGTTACGTTCTTCAGCACCACTCCTTAGCTTGAGTTGATCATAGTATAAGGCGTGGAGCACGATTTGCACCGGTAATCTCTTGTTTTGGGAAGCATGAACCCTTGCGTCGTAGGATAGTTTTAGTGGATCCATCACACTACATGCCTTTTCGCGCTCAATTTCATCTAAATTTGGATGAGCCTGCAATAAAAAAATTCATCATAAATTAATTTATGACCATCATAAAATCATCATGTTATGTCATGCTTTAATTATTTATTGGTTTATGAATATTGGATGTCATGTTTTCAATATTTATTAGTTTATAAATAATGATTTAAAGTGTAAAAGTCTAACAGATTTTACAGATTTTTTTTTATATGTTATAGGTTGGATTTGTCTAATTATTGAATTATCAATTATTTCTCTTCCGGTTAAATTAAAATTTTGAATTCAAATTTGATCTGATCCAATATGATGTGATAACAAATAATACTTCAACAAAAGTGAATACACGTCCCAAAATCTGTATTTTGTTTGAGTTATCACGTTGAAGAAGTTAAGTTTCATTGTCATCACGCTTGAGAACGCTTGAGAAGGTCTGGTTATCTTCAACAACTTAGCCGACGTTAATTTCTGGGTCATTGTGTCAACAATCTGCATGGAGACTATATCAAACAACACTATGTTCAAGGTTATGAATGAAGACTTTGTGAAGTTAGATAGATTTGATGGATCCAACTTCTCTGGTTGGAAGGATAAATTAATGTATAGGACTATTTAGTTATCCGAGCGTGTAAACCCGATGAATAACCCATATCCAATTTATTCAGTTAATAAATTATAGAATTCCAACCATTAATAATTTATTGATTAGATCTTCAATAACAATCAAATTATTGAACCGAATCAAAATCTGATCTATGGACGTCGTCAAAGTAATTACATATGCCTGTAAATATTTTTGATAAAGCATGTTCAAACCATATATTAGTCTCATTTTCACCAACAATCTATCTAAATATCAAACAATAAATTAAGATAAGATTTAAAACTTAAATCAAACAATAAAATCTAAACTTAGATCTAAATCTACAGAGTTTTTTATTTTTATTTTTTTAAATAGAAAATGAATTGGTTTTATGAGAGAATGAATGAGCGCATAGTATAAGGTTGAAGAATGAAACAAACAGTTATGGCAGAGAAAGCAAACTGACCTTCAAGTAGATATCAACGGCTCTGTAAAGATCATCGTCGAGTTTGCGAGCTCCTTTCGGAACGAGATTAGCGATCCCATTAAACTTGGAGATGCTAAGCTCAACGCATGTCGCAATCTCGCCCAAGTAGGCGTCCACCGTCTTCGCCACCCTCTGCATCGCCGTCGAGCACCCCTCCCTGAAATCGCCGCCGTTGAACACCGCTACGCTCTTCTCCTTCTCCACGAACCCCGATATGATCCTCCTCACGCTCTCCAGGTCGAACAGCGTCTCGCCGTCGTACGTGAACGACACGACCAAGAGGTCGTCGACCGTCACGTGCTCCAGGATCGCCGATATCCTCTTCTCCAGCTCGTTCTTGCAAGAGTTGGAGGACCTGAGAAAAATAGCGGATCGGAGAAGACAGCAGAGGAAGTGGATCGGGAAAGCGGCTCTCTCCGAGGGCAAGAGAGCGACGATCGATTGGAGGAGCTCACGTTGCCGGAGTCTGACGTCAGAGTCGCCGTGATCTGACGTCCTCGTGCCGCTCCCGGAGTGGTCTCGCACCAGATCACGAAGCGATCTCTCCGCGTAGGTGATTATCGCGCTCGCTAGGGTTAGGGCTTTCCCACCACGAGCCTTCATCGCATCAACAATCCTCTTGAAGAATGCTATGTCCACTATCGATAGCTCCTCCGTCCACCAGTTCGGCGGCGATCGGCTTGGAAAATTCGCCTCAATACAGGCCTAACAACTCCAAGAGCATCAAATTAATCTCTCGAAATTGAATTTGAAGAAAATTTAGTTGAAATTTCAATTCAATTTCAAATCTAACATTGTTGAATACCTTGGAGGTTGCGACATCGACGCATCGTTGAACGATTTTGAGGTCTTCGGCCATGGGGAGAAGGTCTTCGCAGGACTTCAAGACGACGACGGCGCCGGAGAGGCTGGTGAGGACGACTTGGGCGAGGAAGTCCTCCGTCCGGCCGGCGAGGTTGTTGTCGCTGTACTTGTCCGTCATCTGCAAAAGCTCCGCCGCGCAACGCAGACCCGCGACGTTGTGCACTGTGATCTCAAAATTGACGCCGTAGCAAAACTTGGCTGCTTTTTCGAAGATCTCAGCTCCTCCGGGGATGTCAGAGAGATCGATCCGCTCCAAATCAGGTTCTTTCGATTCCAATATCAATTTTCTTATATAATTGCTCTTTGCAACAAGCATGAACTGCGTAGAATGTCAATAAAATTGAAAATTCTGAAATTTGTTGTTCGGAACTAAGTAAAATTCAAGTAAAGAAAGCTTTTGAAGTACCTTGTGAAGAGTAAAATCGGCGTCTCCGACTTGGACGACTACGTCGGTCGGAATTTCTTGAGAGAAAACCCTGAAAATGATGAACACAGAGCATGGTTTAGGGGATGACTATATATATATATATATATGTATGTATGTATATGTGCATATGTGTGTGTATATTACCATTGGCCAGTTCTCTCCATGGCAACCGAGAATCTGTTGGTGTTCTTGAGAGAAGCAGCAGCCATGAATGGGATGAGTTCACAAGCAAGACACGCACAGGATTAGGACTAGGAGAGTGTGTGTTTTATAGGAATGAGACTTGAGAGTGACCATCATTTTAATTTATCTTCAGGTTGCTTTTTATCCCTTAAAGTTTCTGGTGATGTAAACTACCTTACTACGAGTCATGAGTGGGTTCAGTTTATCCATCAATGTCATGGTTTTGCTTTTATTTTTAAATAAGAGTGCAATTTGGATAATTTTTTTTAGTAAATACAAACACATCAATTTTTTAGAGTAATTATGGTAAGTGAGTTCAGTTTATCCATCAATGTCATGGTTTTGCTTTTATTTTTAAATAAGAGTGCAATTTGGATAATTTTTTTAGTAAATACAAACACATCAATTTTTTAGAGTAATGGAAGGAAAGAGGATTAAAAGTACTACAATTATGGAAAGAAAGAGTAATGGAAGGAAAGAGGAAAGAGGATTAAAAGTACTACAATTATGGAAAGAAAGAGCAATTGGATATTTTTATTATTCCCCATGCAAAAAGGAGAATAGAAATTTAAATGCTTGTTAACTTGATTATAACATATTCTAAGAGTCGGGCCATCCTTGCATAGTAGGTGGCTCACTTAGACGCCTACATTTTAAGAATCGGGTCATCTTTGTCTATCCGAGTGGCTCACATGGACGTCTTCTTAACCTAGCGCTTGGCGTGACACCGGATCAAGAATTGAGTCTGACTCTGAAACTAACTTAGGGTTGCAACTCGGGCGGGTCCAATCCGAAATAACCCGAGCCCACCCCGAAATTTTGTGAGCTTAGACAATGTTTTTCTAATCTCGATTTGGACCTGAGCTATAAATTTTGAGCCCGAATACTATTTGGGTTGGGCTTGGGTTGATATGAATGAAGCCCGAAACCCAATCTGAGCCTGAATATATTATATATATTTATAATTATACTTAAGTCATAAAAGTGTAGTAGCCAAGTTTCAAGTCATGGGTGTACCATTAATTGATTTATTTTTTAGGTTTTAGGTTGGACAAATTATGTATGGGCTGTGCTTGGGCAGCTCGACTCGGGTTAAGGCGGGCTTGGGCTGGGCTTGGGCAGAAGATTTTCTATATGGGCCTAACCCGAGATGAATGTCAAGCCCGCTCAACCCGCCTAATTTGCAGTCCTAGACCAATTATAACGAGTGGTCGTTTACCCATTTACCTAAAAACTTAAATTATTGGGTAGTGTTGCATACCCATCCATTTATACTCTTTTCACTTTCTTTTCGGATCCGATGTGGGACAAATATCCCTTGTAACACCGATTATCATGTTGTTGAAAATAAATAAATAAATAATATAAGGAAAATAATAATGTGATCTAATGCATTTAAATTGATAACGTAATAATTTTTTTTTGTTAATACAATAAATAATTTAAATTGACAGTGTAACACAATTTAGATGTTAAATTTTTATTTTTAATGGTGTTATAATGTTATATACATAAGAGAATAAAATATGGTAATATGGTGCATGGTTCTTACATTTTTTATACAAATGTGTTATATCTGTAATTAGGGATGGTAACGAGGCGGGTATGGGAGGGTTTTCCTAAATCTGTTCTCATCCCATTTAATTATGAACAAATTCATACATATCCCATATCTGTGACGGGTTTTAATTTATAATTCGTGCTCGCACCCCGTTAAGAGATGAGTGTACCCATGCTCGTCTCGTTTAAGGGTGTTTTTTTTTTTATTTTTTATTTTATTTTTATTTTTATTTTTTTTATATCAATAAATTGATTAAATCTATAAATTCTATACAATATATATATATATATATATATATATATATATATATATGAACATAATAACTTGCATACATTTATAATAGATATATACATCTATTTATATATACTTCTTTTTTTTTTAAAAAGTATAAATAGCGGGACGAGGCGGATGTTTCTCAAATCCTGTACCCGTCTCGTAACTCGTTGTGAAATTTGTCATCCAAACAGAGCCTTAAAGCATGTGAAAAGTTCACTTTACCCTTCACTATTTTATTTATTTTAATTATAAAATATCAAAATACTTAAATGACCAAATTACCTTATATATATATATACACACACACGCGCACATACACAAACAACCATAGTAACCACCACCCCCAACCTCAACCTCGCCGGAGCTCTGCCACTGCCACCTCCTCCACCTTGTCGGAGTTTGGCCTCGGTTCGGGCAAACTCGGCCTTAGACAAGCAATTCGTTATCTTCTTACTCTTCACTTTCTATACCACTAGTATTGCGTTAGGCATCATCGACAGCGATCCGTCAAATTATCGGCTGGAATCTGACACCAAACCCATAATTCTCCTCCCAACCGAGAAGTCAGACTTAGACTCAGAGCTAGCCAACATCGCTGAATAGAACTTGAAGCCATTGAGATTCAGCCAGACAAATCCAACTAGGATCTACCGGAATTTGAAACCGAAACGACCGGTGCGGATGCAGTCCCGTTGACCCGTCTATTGATCGTGGTCAGTTTCAGACCAATCAACCGTCACTTCCAATTGAAATGTCACTTCTCTTTCTATTTCTTTCGCCGTGGTTTCGGCCATCGCTTCAAGCCGATGAATCCTCGTCTTCACAGAAACGAAATTTCATACGACAATGAGATGATATTTTTCTGGTGAGATTAGTGACTTCGATCCGATGATATTCCATGGCAACATGCGGTGTCACCACCACCACCACCACGATGACGACGATGAGTTCAACCACCACCACATGAAAATGATGATGAGGCGGTGGCAGCGGCGGTTGGGGGGTGATAAAGATATAGTGTGTGGCTGAGAGGGTGATGAAGATGTACTGTGTGTATCTTTTCTGTACGAGCATAAAGCAGAAGACCTCTCACGATAGGGGCCTTTCTCTCATACCTATCTCTAGTATCCGACACGGTGTACGCTGTTGAGTTATCATTCCTCCGTTTGTCCCGACATTGATTCCGATACCTCCCACTGCTTCTGTTGTCGAAGAACAATCAATTAGTTTCTCTAAAGTGTCTATTGCCTTCCCTTCTTTGTCCTCTTTTCGTGCCTTTTTTCTCTGATTTGCATTTCATTTCAAAGCCTTTTTCTTTACAAGAACAGCCCCCATTTCTTCAATGTACATACAGAGAGAAAAAAGGGAGAGGGTTCTTTACACAAGCGGGTTTGGGTTCGAGTTCGAGATGGTTTTGGGTTAGGGTTTAATTCAAGGGTATTTAAGTCAATTAAAATGTCAATTTTATATTAAAGGGCAATAAGGTCAATTCACCATCTTTAGGGTCTTTTTGTCCATTTTTCAAACTTGAAGGGGTGTCTTTGTCCAAAAATAGGCGAACTTTCCTCTGCATGCCTTTTCCTAAACCTCAAGGGAGGTCTCTGTACTTTACCCTAAAATCTGAATTCATACCCATCCTTACGGTACATAAACGGTTTTCATACCCGTGCTATTAGGGACGGAACTGGAGGTGACAATTCATGTTCGCAGGTCATAGTTGTGTCGTGTCAATTAAGGGTATTATACTAAATAGTTTAACCCGAACACGATCAGTTTAGTATTTGTGTCAAGAACCCTCAATACTAACCCGGCTTGTTTATTAACGGGTTACACGTATAACCCGTTTAATAACCTATTTATTATATGTATATATATATTATTTAAATTGTTAATAATACTCAATCAAACAATAAATACTAAAAAATATATATAAGTTTCAATTCAACCAAATTAAAAAGAGCTAATTATAAGACACAAATATAGATAGTTATTTTAAAACTTAAATATAAATTTTTTTGTGACATGTACGTTAAACGAATATAAACAGATTATATAAATTAAATTACTTCAATTTAAATATAATACGATTAATTAAAAAAGTTAATTATGTCTCTAAATTCGTTTAACATCAATGCAAACTCGTCGACCACCCCCTCATCCTACTGTAATGTAATGTGTTAAAGAAGGAGGGGCGTGCAACAATTATTAAGCACCGTAGAAGGAAAGAAAAATAGTAGAAGGGACGAGTAAAAGGTTAATATTTTCTTTCTATCCACTTGAGCATCATCTAAAGAAAATGCCTGCATGATAAAAGTTCTCATTTTGGTCTTTTCAACTTAAACATAATTATTAAAGGTGTGCAGCTCATTTTGGTCTTTTCAACTTAAACAAAATTATTAAAGGTGTGCAGTAGATGTAATCAATCATTTCATATCCAAAATCATTGTAGTATAGTGATGGTTATAGAAGTAAAGTCATGTAATCTAAGTATTTCAAAGTGGGTCATCGAATCACTTTTTCCCTTTTTTGTTTTTTTCTTAATTTTTTTTCCTTATTTTTATTATTTTTATTTTTTCTAATTAATACTCACACACAATATTTTTCCTTAAAAGTTATTTGCACCTAAGAGATTTTGTTTTCCCTTTTTCGTTTTCTTTTTTTAATTATGGTTTTTAATTTTGGTGTTGATTAATAAAATAATTCACACAAAATTTCCTAACAAGAAGGCACAACGTTAAATAGCATTTCAAAAAACCATTATAAAAGATAGCCAAACCGTTGTAAATAATAGGTATATGTGTTTTTTATTTGACCTAAATGGTAATAGGTATATGTGTTTATTTTAACATTAAAAAAAAAAAAAAAAAAGTTAGATTGTAGTGAGACGCTCTTGAGAATCGAACCCATAACTAAGGACGGATCAAGGAATTTATATGAGGGGGGCAAATTTATATAGAGGGATTTTTTTTTTCATAATTTTAGTAAGAATAATTTCAAAATTTTATGGGTATAAATACAAAAAAAGTATAAATTTAAAGATATAAAATGTAAAAATAAAAAAATTCAGTTGGGGCGCATGGCCCCATTGAGCTCTTCATAGATTCGTGCTTGCTCATGACCTCTGGCTCTGATACCACTTGTTGGATTAGGTCGTACTATCTCATCAAAAAACTAAATAGTGTTTAGTGAGGGTAAGACAAGTATTTTATGGCATTCGATCCAAGCCCACTCATGTAATGAGTGGCATTGTGTGTTATCTTGCCAACAATTCGTGAGAGC